TCACGTTATATTTCTTATACTTTGGAAAGTTCGTAAAAGATGCTCGAAGATTGAAAAATTGAACTTTCCAACAAAGGATTTTCAAGCAAAGTTATAGATTTTTCTTTATAAATCTTCTCTCTAAAACTTTCCGGATGACGATCTAATGTGTATTACAAGTCGCATCTGTCTATGAAAATATTTGAAAGGGTAATTGGTTAATAGTTAATGGAGATATAACACGTGTCTCTTCGTTTGTGACATTAAAATACGCCTAGGATTATCAGCTTATAATCGGTGATCAGTGATCGGTGATCGATGGTTGCTCAGTCACGCGTTTCCCACCCACACGAAAGGCAATTGAATCGCTACTTTATTCTTCTCGAGTCTTGTCGACAGTCCCATTCAATCAGATTAATGACGCTTGGTACTCGCCTCTAATCTCTGAATTTCTGTTATTCCAGGTAGAACGTAGAACGATTTATGCGAACGTGTGGTAATAAGTCAACGAGAAATGAAGCAGATACAAATTGACATTGGGCAATGAGGCTCGAGAGAGACTCTTACCGCAGCGAAACGGTAAAGTAAAAAAAAGGACAAAAATTTTTTGCCTCGTTTTGCTCTTTACTTTTTTTTTTTTCTTTGTTTCACATGAAATTCTCACGTTACGATGATTTTGGAATGTGATAGAAAGAACAATAAATTTTCTGGATTCATTTCATTCCATCGCAGCTGTTTAAAGAGATCCTAACCAGCCATCGATCATCAATCGTGCACTAACCTTTGCAAAGATATTCATGCAAAGGAATTGCACGTACACATATATAGTTCCGCTAAATGTACAATCAATCACGCATATCGCTACCATCAATCTCCGATGTTTGCATTTGGAAGTGGACGAAAGTACTCTTCGTCGAGCACACTCGATGAAGAATCATCGATACTTCAAACTGTTGAAACTTCGCGAAACCAAATGGTGCGACAACCTCAATTTCAAAGTGTGACGTTCTCTGCTTTACCAATCTTGAGATCAATGTTCTCAAAAATGTTTTCTTCTACGTTGGACAGTGTGTGACAAAGCAAGGATGTTGTTGTTATCGAAAATTCTAAAGATTTAAAATCACTGAAAATTTTTTTCGATTTATTTTTTTTTTTATTATTAGATCTACCGTAACTTTGAAGATCGAAGTCTTCCCTTCGCATCAAAGCTTGCTCTACAATTGCTTTTTCACCAACTTCTCGGATCTTGAATGTTCGTAACATCGTTTGAGATAGAGTTAGTGATAGAGTTAGTAAAATGTTTAAAAAAAATAAAATTTTTTTTCTACAACTTTCGAGAACGAAAGTATCCTTGCTTTTCCATTTGCTGGAATCTAACGTTCATCCTACTCTTAAGATAGAACAAATCTAGCATCAACAAATAATCGAAATAAAAATCTAACTGAGCTTTCGAACTGACTTTTGAAAAACTAACAGTTGTAAAATAAGGCCAATTGGATTGGAAGTTGTAACAGCTGTTAAAATATGCAACAAACAATTTTTCATCGAGCGTGCGAATACTTTCGTCGACTATCAGTAGCTCTGATTCTTCACGCATCGTAACGTGTTATGCGAGAACACTTCATTGCAAATGAGACGAGACAGTTTCACCTGAATCTGAATTAAGAGATGTCTGAAAGGCAGGTCTCGAATCACGAACCTATCGACAACGAGTCTCGAAAGCAAATTGACCCGCTCGTTTTTTGCTCGCGACGCGACG